ACGAGCCGGACTATCGACTTACAAGAAGGTAGTGACTCCAAATCGCGATGATAAACAAAATACGACGGCCAAAGCGCGATCCCGGAGGCTGTACACGACGATGCTGACGAAGTTTGACTGCGTGGTAATGGACGACGAAACCTACGTCAAAGCCGACTACAAGCAGCTTCCGGGACAGGAGTTTTATACGGCAAAAGGAAGGGGAAAGGTAGCAGATGTTTTCAAGCACATGAAACTGTCAAAGTTCGCAAAGAAATATCTGGTTTGGCAAGCCATCTGTACCTGTGGCTTGAAAAGCAGCATTTTCATAGCTTCCGGGACTGTCAACCAAGAAATTTACGTGAAAGAGTGTTTGAATAAACGTCTGCTGCCTTTCCTGAAGAAACACGGTTGTTCCGTACTGTTTTGGCCGGATTTGGCATCTTGCCATTACGGTAAAAAGGCCATGGAGTGGTACGCCGCCAACAACGTGCAGGTGGTTCCCAAGGACAAGAACCCTCCCAACACGCCAGAGCTCCGCCCAATTGAGAAATACTGGGCTATTGTCAAGCGGAACCTAAAGAAGACCAAAAAAACTGCTAAGGGCGAGCAGCAGTTCAAGGCAAACTGGCTTTCTGCGGCGAAGAAGGTGGACAAGGTGGCTGTACAAAATCTGATGGCAGGGGTCAAGCGTAAGGCCCGGCAATTCGGATTTGGAAAAGCGGAAGCCTAACTGAATATTTTTCCTGAATTTTATACTAATTGAACTTGAAAAAGAAATTTAATTTGATTTTTTAAATAAACGATTTCACCGATTTACACGCGTTTTCCCTTGACCAAATTTTGACCGTATCACCCTTTAAGTTGTCCAAATTTTGTTTAGATAGAAAATCCCATAGTTTCGTATTTTGGTTTCAAATGAAGAATTTGATGTTTGTTTCGTCTATGAACAATGATGAAAACGCCTCACCGGCTCCTTTAAGCCGGTCATATCGATAAATTAAATAATTTGAGTCCCTTTTAACCTTATGGTTAGGTTTAATGTACGCTTCAGTTATAACGGTGATATGCACGTTATGAACTCTTAAAAAGTTAAATAGCTCGTCTGCATTATCTTAAAGAGATCGAGCATTCCAATTCAAAATTTATTTGTTTCCTTGATTTGTTTTCCATCAATCTTGTTTTCCGTGCTGAGCACCAGTGCTACCGACGCCAGGGAGGCAGCTCCCACACCTGGACCCTACCTATCGACCCATCAACTCATGAACCGAGGACCAAAGGCTTTACTTCCCTTCCGAAGGAAGGCGTGATCAGAGATGTTATGCCTCAGAACATCCCTGCAGCGCCGACTGGGATTGAACCCATGCCTGCTGGGGTGAGAGGTAATCACGCTTACCACTAAACCACTGGCGCCACTATTCGAAATATTTAATGATTAAAATCCTTTACTGAATTGCATAGTCATGACTATGTTATTCGAACAATTAACTCAGTTTGAATTGCATCAAATATGAAGTTAGTTTTTAACATATCAGTAATCATGTTGACTCAAAATCATCAAAATGTCCGATAGAATTATGTTGGCTAGAATTTTGATTTCGATTTCTACCAGCTGCAATAGCAGCATAGGTAGCTCCATTTACTTGCTGAAATTTGGTACCAGCAGGTATGGTTGAAGAATTTGAAGCAGGGGAGCTGTTTTTACCTACCGGTTCGAATGAAGAATTTGTTCATCGCTGACCGTTGCTATCAGAAATAAGTACCGTGGAGCGTTTCCTACCTGTCACTTAGAACGAGATTGGAGGATAGCTTTGCGAGTCTTACATTCCCTAAAAATTGTTTGTGGTTTTCACCACAATTCAAGGTCCCTATTATTTGCCGCTGAGAAGCAATTCCGAGGCCAAGTAAAACCTCCACGAGGCGTCCCCTCATTCGCCCCATCATTAGTTCCATCATTCGTTGAGTCGCAGCGTTGAACCTGACTATTGGCCTCGAAAAGGCTTGCCAATGGCCATGAAAAATCGACTACATGCATCCGAACATTTGTTTATCTCAAATCGAAGTAACACATTCCGCGCAACTACCATAAACCGGACTAGTTCATGCTGATCTGCGTCAAGCTTCGTCTACAATTTGGTCTTTTACATCAACACATGTCAGGTAGCCTTAAGATTCAATTGGCTAAACTTCCCAAGTAACACTGCAAGGTTTATAAAGGTTACAAGTCTAAATTGAGGTCTACAGAATCCTCACAAAACCTTAATTGTTACTTGGGTTGGTGAGTTCGTTCCATGTAGTAAATTGTTATCTTTTCAAACCAGTAACGTTGCGATATCACCTTTTTGTGGTGCGTTACTGGTGTAAGATCTACCACCGAACCCTAGTTGTGATAGCTTCAAACTGGGAAATCAGAATTTTCCAGTAATCAAAGGATCACATTTTGGTCCTTGTTAATGTTTATGACTTGATAATAATGACAAGACTCGGGTAAGGACCACCGCCGTTATGCATTTCTATATTGTATATTTCAAATCGAAAATATTGTTTATGTTCATAGATTTCACAAAATCTTTTTCCCTTTGTCCTTCTCCTTTTCCTTTCCCTTTTCTCTTTTCAGAAAGCGAGTAATGGCGCTATAGCCATACGTCATAAAAGGCTAGGACAAGAGTTAGTGCTCATGCCCCAACCGTCAGAAGAAAATGGAGCATCACTTAACCTTTCTAGCTTTGATGCTTTCAACGACCAACCAATCATATAATTACCAAAATCGGAACGTACGGTACGAGATGTCCACGTTTCATTCATTTTTTGGATTCTGAAGCATCGTGTTTAAATCTTCGATCTAAACAGGTCCGATGTTTTCTGAATCATCTTGCCCCTTAAATGCTGCACAGTAGGCCTGGCCGTTTTGATATGTGTGACGCATCTTCGATGTGAAACATATATCAAATAGACAAGAAAAATGATGTAGGTATATACCGTTCCGATTCAAATTTCGGACGATTCAAATTTCGGACACTTTCATTTTTAATTAAATATTACATCCAGTTAGAAACAAAGTAATAATGTTAGATGATCGTGGAGGGCACTAGTCAAAAAAATTTAAAATTTACAAGACATGTGGATCATATTCGACCGAGATAATCAACTTTTAAAAGTGTCCGAAATTCGAGTTTAAGTGTCCGAAATTTGAATCGGCACGGTATATCATTTTCCATGATGCTTTCAAAAACTGGCTGTGTTGCTGTTAGATGAGATTAGATTAGATTTAAATTTCTTAGGTTTTTTCTTCAGAGGACAGTCGTCCTTTGCATGAGAATAATCACAACAATTCATGCATTTAGCAATTTTTTTAACCGTGACCCCATCCCTGCACTTACGGCACTGGGCATAGGCGTAGCGAAAGGGGGCAGTTGCTCCCCTAAACTCAGCAACACAAAGACTTTCGATGAAATGGCGTTCGGTGAAAAAGCATTCGGCCAAATTTTACATACTAATTTTTTTTCGCCCCTCCCTAGCTCGAAACCTGGCTACGCCCTTCGCACTGGGTGAGGTTTTGGATTTCCTCCAGTCTTCCTGAAGGGTTCTCACTTCACTCGGACATGTAGCATAAGGCTAGCTTTTTCTAAGGCTTTAAGGTTGTTTAGCTCACTAGACTTGAAGTGAACTAAATAACAATCATTTCCCGTTGCTCAAATTTCCATTTTCATTATGATTACTAGGATTGGCTCAACTCCAAGTAATATTTTTCAATTCATCTTTCATCTGATTCAGGGATTCACCATTGGGCAGACCTTGCAAGACAACATTGAATAGACGTTCAGTTTTGGTGTCGTTAGTGAAAAATTGGTGTTGCTTCTCAGTAAGATGCTTGAAGAGACGTTTGAATCCGTCAAAGGTTTCAGTCAATACACGCCATTCACCTAGGCGGCCAATTTGATATGAAAACTTGAATTTAACGAAGTTCAAAAATTCCGTGTGAAGAGCATGGAAATCGGAAGTGGTTATCACAATACGAGGGACCTTCGCATAAATTTGGAAAAAGCTCATTTAAAGTGCATATTTTTAAATCTGGCTGAAAATCTGATGTACGTTATTATCGTGGAATAGCCATCAACTCTTGCGTTTCTTAACTTTTCGAACAAATTGTCAACGAAAAATTATTTCTCCAAGTCAATAATATAATTACTGACATGCACCACGGCTGCTTCAAGGGTCGTTCGACCTCGACACATTTACTTGAATTATAGACTATTCATTGAATGCAATGGATAATGGAAACCACGTAGAAGCCCTCAAGACAGACTTTAGCAATGTATTTAACCGCATTTAAAGAGTACCAATGCTACTCTTTAAATTGAAAAAAAAATTGGATTTGAGTCAGGACTTTTGAAATGGCTTGAATCATATTTAACTAACCGACAACAAATAATGAAATTCAACGGAAAGAAATCGAGCCTAATTCAAGTCACTTCAGGCGTCCCCAAAGGCTCTCATTTGGATCTTAATATCATTATTTCAACTCTACATCTCATCATGCACAGTGGGGTTTTCCCTAAATGCTTGCCATTCGACGTGAAGAATGAAGAAAATTCCTACATTTCGCATAAACATTAATCCATCAGTACTTTTCCATCTCAATCTCTAAATGCCATTCACTCAACGTCAATGTTAAGGACGATCGCCATAAAACCATCGCCACGCAACACCCAACCGCATAAATTGGGGAATCCCAAACTAACCAGATCACCACAGTTTAAGCACAATCATCAGCACCCGAACAGCGGTCCGACGCCTCGCCGTCTTCTCTCCACACATCAACACAAATGAACCGCCGCTCTATGGGCTTGTGTGTGCCGCCCAGCCGCTGTGCCTGGCAGTCCCGACTGCAGTAGAACAATTCGCCGGGCTGATCGCTGCTGGTATGACTAGTGTTAACACAATAGCCCCACACACAGGTAACCGAGCAAGCGAAAATGTAGTGCGAAAATTTATAAACCCTCGGTACCGCTCGATCGGTGATCTTATTACCCGCCGAGAGTTCACTCAGAACGGTTGCTGTTTCCGAAAGAAGTGGCGACGTTCATTTGATCCCAACAGTATTGTAGTAGGGTGATAGTTAAAATCGGAAGCCGGACGAACCATTAAATCAATTAATTTGGCGAATTGTTTGTTATAAGTTATCTCGTGAGGCTTGCAAAGAATGCCAAGGACTAGTCATAACTGAGTATTTTATTTTAAGTGATACAAAGATTGCGGTGGATAAAAGTAAAACGGGCAATGAAACGGACATGTGCAATTCGAAGCAATTTGTAGCCGATTGCAATCGACAGTGAAAAGCGACACGTGAAAGTATTCTACCCTGTGTGCCACGTGCCAGTTAGTGCAAGCCACCCGCCAATTTCCACGAGTGACTAGTGTAACGTGAATAGCACAATCAGTGATATTGTTTTGATTTACCCTGGACTGACAACAAGATCTATTGTTGATCTGATCCTACAAAGTTAATCATGGCGGGAGTTGTGAATCGATCATTTGTCGGCGATGACGGTCAGGTACCGGGCAAGACGACCACCAACGGTTCAGCGGGACCTCCTGCTGCAGCGGCGTCAGACACCACCGTGGACACTACCAGTACCGGTTCCGGTGAAAGGGAAAAATGGGACAACGGAGTGGAGTTCCTGCTGTCCTGCATTGCCATGTCGGTCGGTCTGGGCAACGTGTGGAAGTTCCCGTCGACGGCATTCCGCAACGGGGGTGGAGCTTTCGTCATTCCCTACATGATCGTGCTGCTGATCGTGGGAAGGCCGGTCTACTATCTGGAAATGGTGATGGGACAGTTCTCCAGCCGAGGCAGCGTCAAGGTGTACGATGTGTCGCCGGTTATGAGAGGTACGTCGGGGTAGTCATATTATCTACATTTGTCATCGGTCGAGGTGAAAGGGATAATGATGGGTTAATAGTTTTCGACGGCAGGTAGTCTGCCGCGAGTGATCGATGAAGTTGTGAGCAAAGAGACGTGTCTGCTTTAATTTGCTTCTACTTAAAGCTACCGATGACGGAGGTGTTAAAACAAACACAGAATGATTCGGTGAAAATGTGCTTGGGTAGTTTTATTTTTGTTTGCAAGGAGATAATTGGAATACAAATATTTTAAATTTAAATTAGCGCAGTCAGATTTACAAGCAAAGAGCTGTGTCACGTATAACAATAGCTGCTATATAATTGGTTTTAGTTGCATCGGTACATTTTTCAAGGGCACTCAATGATGTAGCTTTAGTAGTGAAAGTTTCCTGTATTTGTGTTTAAATAATAAGGTTTTGGAATGCGGAATTTTCCCAAATGATCAATATCAAGCTTATTTGTGACGATGTTGAAGCTGGTCCAGTGTAAGAATGCTTAAGTTGATCTTCGTACAAATTAAGTACAAAATCCAAACAATTGGATCAGTGTGTTTTGGGGTTTCTTATTTTAAGTGTCAATGTCTCGTTGGCTTCTGAATGCTCTGCAATTGATACAAAGCAGACAATGTTGTACAAGGAAAATGACACGAGCTATCGTATCAACTAAGAACAGTTTGATCAGCTGCGCTGAGCATGAAACGATGATGGATATAGGAATACCATTTATTTTGAATCATATTGCAAATAACAGACTTACTGAGGTATGTTTGAGTTTTATTGTGATGCCATTTTACAACCTCGTTTTTTTCTCGCTAATTTTTTTGCGATAATGTGTTGCTATGTCATTCATAAGAAACACCAGATAATATAAAACAGTTGGATGTCCTTTCAGTACTATTTTTACTCCAAACACAGTGTAACGTCATTGAATTAACATTGGCATACGGATGGGGCCTTCCTTAGATCAGCCGGTAAAAGTGCAGCTACAAAGCCAGACAGAGCTTGAGGTGGCTGGGTTTGTTTCCCGGTCCGGTCTAGGAACTTTTTGGGTTGGAAAATTTCCCTGGAGTATGATTCGACTTGCCACATAATTATTCTAATGCAGAAATGGTACTGGCATCGAAAGCTATCAATGAATAACTGTGGAAGTGCATCTTGAATACTAAGTTGAGAGCACGCAATAAGCTAAAATGTGATAAGCATTAAGCTTGGAATGCGAAGAATAAGATGAAGCGTAAAAGTTCCAGTTTTTGACCTAAACCCTAATTTGTTTTCCCCCCATTTTACTGCACATAGAAGAGAAGGTCAACTACTCCTTTTAAAGCTTAGACTTTTTACTAGAAAGTAGTGAAGGTTTGAGTAGCGCCAATTCATTTTGAATAGGGTCACGTTGATTGGTTGCGCGTTTTGCCAATTTGTACACACAAACGAGCCAAACTGCTAGTGTTTTAAATGTGGCTTGAAGAATTGAGTAGCAATTAGTCAAGTTTGGCTCGTTTGTGCTTAGCAAATGGAAAAACACGCAAACATTCAACACACTTAGAAAAAAATCATGTAAATTTAGGTGATCTGAGACTGACATATACGAGCGTCAATTTTGACACAAAATTGAGACATAACCAACGCAAAATGCAGCTCAATCAAACGTACTTTTGGTCGAGTAACGAATTTTTTAGTCTCGGATTCACATCACGGATTTTACATGACATGTTATTTTAAGTCCCATCCTTTCTACAACTTTACCCAATAAAGTATCCTTCTATCCCTTTAGGGGAAAAAAGATAGCTTTTCCATTTTTTTTTTCATAGTAGGCCATGATAAATTTTTTGAATTGCAGGATTGTGAGCGATGATCAATTCATCTCAAGACACTTTTTTGATTAAGTCAAAAGTTTAAAGTTTAAATTTTAATTCAATTCAATTCATTTAAGTTCGTGATTTTGTTACAAACACAAAATGTGTATGTGTTGTTGTCGTATGTTTTTGGCTTTAAATGTATGAACCAGTTAAGAGAGTACACGGTCAATCAGACTAACTCAATTTCAGCAATTGTGAATGTACTCAGAAGTGAGATTAATTTTCCTGGCTTTTTCAGGGGGAGCACACTCTTGATCCAGTTTGGGATACATTATTGACTGCTTTCGATAACGTAATTTCATTTGTATAGCCTGTTTAATCAGGGTTTGAACAATCGTCAAGTCGGACATAGCTTGTTATGATATAAGAGGTACGATAGCCTGAACAATGCGTAAAGAGCAAATCAAAACATTTAACGTCGCGTGAAAGTGGAACTTAATGAAGGCCTATGTGCTTTTTCATAGCTTTTAGTTTTCGGATTTGAAAGATCGTCGGTTGCAGTGGCTTACTTACTGAGCTTGAGCTTGATTGACCGCCCACGGTTGCTACTCTGTTATAGCCAGATTAGCTGTAATTACACAGAGAACTAATAGACGCTGTTTGGGACTAGCAATCATCCTCAATGTGTAAAAACTGGTGATCTTAAATTAGGCAATACCAGCGCCGGTCGCACCCGAACACAGGTCAAGAAAGGAATGGGAAGGATTGTGTTGACATGACACTCGCTTTGATGGAAGCCGAGAACACCTCTGAACTTACACGAGGAATCACTGGGATGTTGGATAAGAGGGTTGGGTTTGCAGCAGGGTTCGTTTTGGTAAACGATAAGCTGAATTGACGTCCTAACGATCATATAACGCGAAGGAGCTTGGGATTAAACCCACGGTTTTCTGCTCAGTAAGCAAAAACGTTTGCCACTAGGCAGACGAGCTCCTTTTTAATCATCGAGTTGCTGTTATTACCATGTAGTCATATTAACAAATAAAACGATTGACGAATCTTGAATGTGGCAGGGCCTGAGATTAGACTCATGATGTTCTGCTCAGTAAGCAAAAACGGTTGCTCTTAGGCCACCGAGCCCCTCATATCACATAATACCGTTGCTCAAATTTTTGTATCGATTCAAACCCGGAACCAACGACAACAACGAGTTTCGCAAAATACACGATACACAAGCGATTTTACCATAAATCTCTTTGATATGTAAGGACCTGGGACCGCATTTTTCTGCTCAGTAAGCAAGCCACTGTAACCGACGATCTTTCAAATCCGAAAACTAAAAACTACGAAAAAGTACTTAGGCCTTCATTAAGTTCCACTTTCACGCGACGTTCAATGACAGGGTCCTATCCAGGATTACATCTGAAAAATCCAAATCTGGCCAACGCCCACCCTAAACCGAAACCTGTTCTAATCCACCTGAAATGACTAACGAATGGAAGACTTTGACTACCCAGCCATGCAATAGTCTCATTCCGTGCCTTATGGCAACTTGATGATTCTATTGCGCTCATCTTTTGGCACCACCCAGGGGAGACTTGGTCCTGTACCCAATGCTTAACTTATCTCCATTCCACTCAGCTACTCGCAATTTCTTGTGATATAGTGGGCGGAATATTATTATATGAGACAATTCAATGCAGACGTCTTTCCAAATTTGGCAGATCGACAGGTAATCGGTGAGTTACCACGATAGTTGCTTATTCAACAACTCGACAACGTCCCATCGTCAACGCCTGCTATGAGAATTTCCCATTGCAGACGCCAACGAAATGACGTCATCGAGCTATCGATCAACTACCCTGGTTATCGCCTGGTACCTTATAGCACGATGCTAGGAGGCGAACCGGAAGAATCGATGAGCTACATCCCCCGGTTGCAGTGGCTTACTTACTGAACAGAAAAACGCAATCCCAGGTCCTTTCACATTAAATAAATGTATGATCAAAATAACTTGTTTATCGTGTATTTTGCGAAACTTGTCGTCGTTGGTGCCGGGTTTGAATGGTTACAACAACTCGAGTAACGGAATGATGTGATATGAGGGGCTCGGTGGCTTTAGAACGACCGTTTTTGCTTACTGAGTAGTCTAATGAGTCTAATATCAGGCCCATCCACATTCAAGATTCGTCGATCGCTTTACTTTTTAATATGACTACATAGCAATAACAACTCGATGATTAAAAAGGAGCTCGTTTGCCTAGTGGCAATTCTGCAAAAGGATTCCTATAGTTGTGTAAGGAGACTCCATACACAACTATTGGAACCTAAGGCTTCTAACATACCGCAACTATAGAAGCGTTTACCCTAGTTACGTCGCTGATGTCCTTTTTGAAGAAATCTACCCCATTGTCTCGATACAACTGTAGAACTTCTCCGCTGTAGTGGGAGCTTACCAAATAAGGCCAAAACTTTTCAGGTCCATTGTGAGCCTTAATGTACGGAAGAATACGTTTTTTTCATATGTAAATCCAATTAGTCAGCACCTTGTAGTCCCATAAAAATATTTAAGATATGAAGCGGTCTTCCATTTTTTTTTTCTAAATAAAAAAAGAGGGCTGAACAAGGGTCGAAGATGACTGTTATTGAATGCCTTAAAAAGCTTATAATTTATATAACTGTTAAGCTATTGGCTGAATAAAATCACCTGATTTAGATATTTAAAAGCTGCACAAAAGTTAACGTGGTCTATGTACAATAATTATTCAAACTAAGGTTGAATTAGAATCGATTACGATCGACCCGTAATTGATCTTCACGTACGTTTCGTCGTCCATGAGGATGCATCCTTTGTACTTTGTAAGAATCTCATTGTACAGTTTCTGGGCACGTCTTCTGGCCACGAGATTATGCTTCAGTGTCCTGTTTGGTTGCCTACTGGCTCGAAAAGATCGAAATCCTTCTCGCTGACGAATTCTTCTGACGGTGCTTTGCCTGGCATTGAATTTCTTGGTGATATCCTAATCCGACAGCCGTGGGTTTGCCCTAACCGTTCTCAACACCTTCAAATGCAGCTTCTAAACCTTAGTTCCACTACGGCGCTTGCTTTGATCCTGCCGATCGATAGTATGCCGCTCACGGAAACGTTTGGGAACACTGCACACGGTCGATTTAGCCCATTTCAACGGCTAGGCGATTTTTGAACCTGACCACGTCGGATTTTCCAAGTGGGTTTCCAAAATTAAGTTTCGGTTCGCGGCTTTTATCGAGTTAATGTTCTTTTCAACTTTATGAAACGTGACGAACTTTTCAGCACTGAAAAAGGAAACATTTCAAAACAAACTGCTGTCAAAACATTCCACATCCGACCGCTAGGAGCACTACACCTGGTTAAGGGAAACCTAGATTGCGCTTCACTTCTTCAAAATATAAGTTTTTACGAACCTTGTCGTCAGCTTCGTTAACGAGATATATTTTTAGTCAGACGTCATAGAGTTGCCTATCCTTTTGATTATTGTGTTAGGTCGTTTCATTATGTGAATGCTGTCTTTGATTTTAATTTTTTCAAGTTTCTGTTGAAAAGTAGAATTATGAACTAAGGTTAATAATCAGTCTGTGAAGTTTTTATAAATTCGGGACGAAGATTAAATCAATAAAACATTATTTTATAAATTCTTTAGAATTCTCCTTTAAACAGTCCAGGACATTCCACAATTCCACACGGCATTTTTTTTTGTAAATTTAACATTTTTGTGAACGTGTAAATTTGTGCGTTGATCAATTGAATTGCTGATCGTTAAGCGTGTAATTTTATAATTTAAATCTGCTTCAGTTTGTAGATGGAATTTAAAAAAGAAAAACAAAACAGTATTATCTGTATTATCCACCTTGAACTTTTCTATTTAATTAACAGTTTGAAACACAATGCATGTGAAATTCTTTTCAGAACAACCTTGCATTAATCCTTTAATCAGTTCTCTATCGGCGTTTATCCAACGCTTGCGACAAACGGAGAGGGTGCGGAAGACTTTGAGATTAGACTCAGTGAATGTCATTAGTTGTCTTGAAGACCTCGAAAACGGGTCTTCTTCTTGTAGGCTTTTTACGCTTCTGTAGCGAGTGTAGTGTTTTGCCGGTTATCAAACGTAGAGCTCTACAAGCGGGTTCCATAGCTATTAGTTTAGAGCTTTCTATGACAAATCCAGTTCATGGATTTATATATTGTGTGGAAAGCAAAATCCAGGGAAGTCGAGAACATTTCCAAAACGATAAATGGCAAACGATAACGGCTTGGTAATACCAACCGGTGGAAACTAACGATTTAAAATTGGCTCACTACTTGACTTCCCTATTGGTCCCAAGCAAATCGATTAACGTACCCCATTCCAGTTGAAATTCTAGTACTACACTATGTTTGTTTTTATTTGCTATGAAAGTTTGACAGATAAAATGAGGGGCTCGTGGATTTTCCTATGTTTCGAGGGGGGCATCGATTAGCTTGGGATCGAAGAGAGTAAGAGCTGAGCCACGTTTCTTCGAGACCTTCTTGTCTTAGAGTTACCTCTATGGTAATACAGTGTCTTAACTGACTAAGCTAGCTGATACACCATTTTTGATATATTAATTTGATGTCAAATAATGGGTATTTCGCTAGCAAGAAGGGTCAAATCTCACCTCAGGTTCACTTTTTATTTTGTGTATTGTGCTAACGAAAGAACTAAACCACACTCACAAGACGTGACGCGAGACAACACTTTTCGTTTTAACAACGTTAAAATAAATTAAAATTTACCTTACTTAAAATTTACCGCATCCGATTTCGATGGGATCTCATGCTGAAATGGCCCTTCGAAGTGTGTATGGGAATTATTATGGAAAAGTGAACTTTTTGTTCAAGACAATGAAATCGATTTACGAGATAGCTTCTTGTCAGTGCTCACGGGAAATTTTCTAAGCACCAACTTTTTTGAATACCACTGTTTGATTATTCGTTATTAATTGATTCCAAGCCGATATCTTTCTGATATGAGCAGTTCCAGGCAAAATAGCGTAAATGTTTTTCAAAATACAAAATGGCAGAATTTTAGCAAAAATGTGAATCATGGCCCATAAAAACAATTATGCAAAGTTTCATGTAAATCGGAAAAGATCAAGATTTTCCAATTCGTGATTTGGCGTGGGACTGCTCATATGATTGATCGACTGGTTTTAGGGCAATACTGTATCTTGCACAATGATGTATTTTTTGTCCTATTCTTCAAGCCAATGCAATGTTTCTTGCTAAGCTATTGAAATGGTTTTCCGCAAAGTTGTTACTTTGAAAATTTCCTATAAGTACAGATAGTAAGTTGTATCGATAAATCATTATAATGAAAGGCTAAGATGACGAGAACAATAAGTTACTTTTCCCCTAGTAATTCCCATATAAACTTCAATGGTGCAGTATGATATCGCAAACAATTGAGCTCAAATATTGGGATTATGATCAGGACCTCGTTATTTGAACCACCCTAATGAATACCCAATGTGAATGTTGTGGTTGCAGTGGAAAATGCCGGGTTTCTCTCTAAACGACTAAGTTTCAAGAAGGAATTCTTTCTTTACGGCATCAATAATCGTCAAATGCATTGTTCCTAGTCTAACCAAGTGTAAACTCTTTAAGCAGTAAAAACGCCGATGATCGTCCCTCAAAGGTGATTTTTCTCTAAAAATCACCGTTTGAAATTGACGGCCGCATTGAAACTAAATATTGCATGCACGTATGAGGGATTCCTCCTAATTTGCGTGTTGTTTGCGTGTTCCCACAAGCGAGCATTCACATCACGTGCATCTACATACGTGCTTCTACTTTGAATCGAAACCTGACAATTACACATTGGGAATCAAACGATTTGCCGAAAGTGTTAGTCACTAAAACTAATGACTCTTCCTTCTCTCCCTCCTCCGCAGGAATCGGCGTCGGCCAGATGATTGCCATGTCCATCGTGATCTCATACTACGCGGCCACCATCGCCGTGGCGATTCGCTACTTCGTGGCATCCTTTTCCGGTGATCTCCCGTGGGCTACCTGTGATCCCGCGTGGACCGACGTGAATTGTATCAATTCGAGTGATATTACGGCCAAATCCAGCATCATCAACTCGACGCTCCCGGTGAAGACATCGGCCGAGCTGTACTACACCCGTTCGGTGACGGGCGAGGACTATTTGGTGGGCGACGAAATTGGACTTCCGGAATGGAAGCTGGGCTTGTGCTTGCTGTTCATTTGGGTCTGTATGACGTTCATGCTGATCAAGGGAATCAAGGGATCCGGAAAGGTGTCCTACTTCCTGGCACTGTTCCCGTACAGTGTGATGCTGTTCTTCGCGATTTATGCCTTCACCTTGGACGGAGCAATGGACGGGCTGTTGTACTTCATCAAACCCGATTGGGAGCAGCTGTTGAATCCGACGGTGTGGAAGGAAGCCGTGTCGCAGTGCTTCTTTTCCCTGTCGATCTGTTTCGGAGGTGTGATCGCTTATTCCTCGTTCAACAACTTTTCCAACAACATCTATCGTGATGCGATGATCATCTCCTGGTTGGACACCTTCACGTCCCTTCTTTCCGGAGCGATCGTGTTCGCAATCATTGGCCATTTGGGATTCATCACCAACGAGACGGACTACACCAAGGTGGTATACCCGGGAAGTGGTCTGACATTCATCACCTATCCGGATGCGATCGCAAAGTTTGAACATGTGCCGAATCTGTTTGCGATGCTGTTCTTCTTTATGCTGTTTGTGCTGGGCATTGGAAGCAATACCGGAATCATCACCAGCGTGGTGACGGCCATCCGGGACGAGTTTCCGCAGCTGCAGAACTGGAAGGTGGTGCTGGCCATCAGTGTGCTCGGGTTTTCGACCGGGTTCCTGTTTATTACGCCGGTGAGTGATTTTGATGAACTATGTTGTAGGTGCTGGGAAATATTATCGCAGAGTTGCTTCCACTCACTCGTTATAAAAAAGTTTTTTATTATTATGAAATCATTCGATGGTATAATGATAGTTAGTTCCTGTAAGTTACAAGAAGTACTTGTAAGGTATGTGAACCTGTCGAAATTGCTTTCAGAACGTCACAATCAGCAATCTAATGATTTGTGGGTACTAACTTTGAGTGAACGCTTTAGGAATCATAAATTCGCAAATTGTGACACTCCGAAAGTGAAATTGACAAGCTTTATGAGTCAAACACATACTTTGCAACCTCTTCTTGTAACTTAAAAGTTTAACATAACATCTAATAATTTAATAGTTCTGAAAAAAAAAATGTATAGCAAATGAGTGGAAGCAACCCTGCTTGGGAGACGTTATTATAATTTATTGCCATCAAAGGGTCGAAGGGGATAATTTACAAGAGAACTCTTTAATCCTAAATACAACTATTGGTTAGCTTTCAGTATGAAATTTGAGTAATAAATTAGCAAAAGTAATTCATGGCTTGTCTAATAGAAACACAAACCTCCGTATGAAGATGATTACTTTGGCGCGCGGTAACCTAAATCAAAGCTAAATGAGAAAACTTGTTTTATCTCTCATACCCATGTACGTCGAAATCGATTAAGTAGTGACAGTTTAACAGCTGCACTGAAACATTGCTCATAAAAAATACTGTTGCACAATCCAATCCGGTCGCAAATATTCCCTCACAAATTTACTATAATTTACAATTCAATTCAAACCACATCAACCAATCACACTTCTCACACGGTTCCGTTTCGATCTAAATTCCCACAGGCCAGCTCCCGCTTGATTGACTACGTGGACTACTACGGAGTGACGTACGTCACGCTCACCCTGGCCGTTGCCGAGCTGTTCTGCTTCTGCTGGATGTACGGCGTCGATCGGATATGTCGGGACATTGAGTTCATGCTGTCGATCCGCACAAGCTTCCTGTGGCGCACCTGCTGGAAGTACATCACCCCCACGGTGATCCTATTGATCCTTATCGTCACCTTCATCAGCGGTGGCAAACCGAAAGGCTTCTCTGATGGCTATCACGGTTAGTTGCCCTCTTCAACCAGCATCAAAATCAAATCGTAAATACAACGCCCTTCTCTTCCAGTTCTAGGATGGTGCATCTACGCCTTGGCGGTGCTTCCCCTTCCGCTCTGGGGCATCTGGGTCGTTGCCCAGCAACCGAAGGGCAGCATATGGAAGAAGATCGTTTCCGCCAGTCAACCCATAGCCGAGTGGGGTCCGGAAAATCTCGCACTGAAAAAGAAATACGACGACTACATTGACGATATTCAGCATGCGGGATCGCGGAACGTCGTCCAGCGGTTTTTCACCGGACAGGAAAAAACCTACTCGGTGAACGTCTAGAGATCCCAAACTACCGTAATAACCAGTTAAATAGCAAAACCGTGTGCCGTTTATTTAAGGCAAGTGGAATGTCTGACGATTTCATTGTGCTTTATCATTGTATGAATGTGTAGGTATTTAATAGTCAAGAGACGGTGGATGAGTGCTCGTAGTAGTGCAGTAGCCGGCAAGCAGACGATCGTCATCGAGTCAGTATTAGTAGTTTTAATGATTGACCTGAGCTTTAACAAAAATGCTAATCGTTGGTTCGACGGCACATGCGGAAGGTTCATCGTCTACTGTGCGGTGAAGTCTTTCCGATCATTAGCGTGTAACATTCGTTAGGGTCATGCAAAGCGCGAATGACTAGTGTAATTCCACCCCCGCCGCGCGCAAGTGTGGCTATCACAGAGGCCACAGAACAGTGGCAGTCATGATCATAATCATCATCATCATCATTATCATCGGCGCAGTAATACATTTTCACAGCTAGCGTTAAGATTGTTGCAATAGTCATCGCCATCGAATTCGATCATCATGGGCTTCTGACACGAGGCTTGTGTAGAACAGCGTCTATAACTGATACGGTTTAGTTACAGGAAGCAATATTGTAAGCACAAATTAGAATGCAAGCTAGACTATTTTCCTCGACAGCGTGCTAGGTATTTTAGATTGATGTAAGTGTTTTTGATAAGAATCAGTGAGGTAGGATTATTTTAATTTTTTTATTTAATAAACATGACGTAAAATTGAAAGCGATTGTTTCAATGCGTGAGAAAGTGATTCTTTGTTTCAGGGTTGACGTCAGATAATTTTCCATTCGTTGGGACTACTGGGTGTAGGAAAGTTGTTAATGCTGCAATGATGGACTCAGACTCAGAATCAGATATGGATTAGAGTTTATCAATCCAGAAACGTAGTGAGTGGGTGATGAAACGGGACCCGCCAAGGTCTGGTAACTTGTTAAAGATATTAAATTTATTGGATTCAATGGGAATTCTGGAAAGTATTTGGCCATGGAGAATTCCAAGGTAATTCTGGAAAGAATTCATCGGGCTTTATGATGAGAGCTTCAGGTGTATGCTTTGGAGCATTTAAAGCGTACTTTTATTAAAAGTGCATGGTAATTGTGAAGAGTATTCCGAAGGAATTTCTGAACCAATTTTCAAAAAAACTGTGAAAGCAATTCAAATCAATGAAAATTCAGTAGGATTTTCGATCACAATTGATTGTGATTGTGATTGTGTAGTATAGAAGAAGGTCAAGGGCCAGGTCTCCCGATACTCTTATGCACCGAACATGCTATACCAGTAGACAGGGGATGGTATCACAGCATCTTTACCAGCAGGTTAAATAAGTTCTGTGTAATCCACGAATGTGAAACAGGGCGAGTCATAGTGACATCACCGATAGGGTAACGTATCGGCAAGACCCCATCTCAATATTAATGAATTAGCTGCCATAAGGAAAGAAACAAGGGAGGAGGGGGGGGGGGTTTGTGTCAATTCATAGATAGCTGTAACTTATAGTGGTTAGTTCGAGTATAAGTAAAGTATACCGTATGCGTAATAATGTTTGCACCACTGAGCAATGTCAAAATTAAAAAAAATCTCAAAAATTTCGTTTTCGAGTTTTTTTTTTATTTATTTAAAGGGCGGATGTTTTTCAGAGTCTTAAACTATGTTAATCATCGATCGAGTTCCACTTGCTGCAATTACAGCCACCACACGCTTCCGGAATACACGGCAGGTTCTAATAATGTAGTCTGGATCCGTTTCTCTCCAGGTACAGGTCAATGTTTGTCTGAGGATTGCTGTACTCGGGTGGCGTTAAGAACAGGCCTTGGCCTTCATGACGCGCCATATTGAGTAATTCAGCGGATTAAGATCGGGGCTGGGTGGTGGCCACATATCCTTCGCTCAGAACGGAAGATGTTCCTGCAACCACTTCTAAGTGCGGTTCGAGGTGTGGCACGGAGCCCCATCTTGTTAAAATACAACATTTGGCTTTGGACCGTACTGTTCTTTGATCCACGGAAGAACATACTTACTTAAAATCCCGATGTAGACCTCCGTGTTGACCTTGTCGCCTTCTGAAATGAACACCGCACAGCAAAAAAATAATTTTGATATCACGTCAAAGTGGATGCACTACAATCATGTCGAAAATATGGTGTAATATTACTTGCTAAAAAGGACAAAATTATCATTAATACAATGCATGAACTGACATTACGCTGCTTTTACTGCATTTGTTTATTTATGTGGTCATAAAAATTACATGAAATTTTCGACATGATTGTAGTGCATCCACTTTGATGTGATATCAAAATTATTTTTTTGCTGTGCGGGTCCATTTTTTGCCATCGGAAGCCACCAATCCAAACACCATAACGCTAGCAGGATGCTTGGTCAGATACACGTTCTTGTGCTCGTCGGCCACGTCTTTTACCGGAAGAGAACTAATGTAGCGGTCGGTTCTGTAATTTTATACAGGATTACCGGATTTTTTCGCTTAAGGAAGTTCAAGATTTTCTTGCATCGTTCGACTCGTAGCTTCCGGATGCGGTTAGTAATCATGTGAGTTTTTTTTTTCGTGTCCTCGACTTCACCCCGCAATCTTCCTCTACGATCTTCCGTGCCATAAAGTCACTGATCCCGTGTTCCTTTGCCATTTTTCTTATTGAACGCACTGGATTCACCCGAATCTTCCTTTTGATAGCAGCGATAACTCTCGAAACCCGAGCTGACCTCGGACGACCTGTGGCCACCCTCGCGGATAGTTGTCCTTTCTTTTCTCGGTCTAAAACCCTTTTGACGGTCAACCGGGACACCCCCACGGGCATTGAAATGTCTTTTTGCGACATTTGCGCGTGGGACAAACCACGAATACGCTGCCACTTCGTCATGGTGCAACTGCCAAACTAAGTAAATCATTTTCTTTTATACACAGTCTACTACACTGAAACAAATCGACATGTACGGTTTATTGGATCCATCTTATAAGATAACAATGCCATAAGATTTATTCATTCTATGTGATGATTAATAGAATCCATTGGATTATCAGTTGAAAACTATGACTGTCATATGGAATGATTTCTATCGTAATTTCACATACTTAGTACATGATATTCCTTTGCTTCTAACGTGGTTAGCGATGGGTTAGATTTTTATTAATATTGTCTGCTATATGTTATGGATAAAAACTGTTGATACGTCAAGGGTGGGAACAGACATCTAGAAACTAATGGAAATTCATATAAGTTTGTACTATATGGAAAACTGGTAAAACATATCTGTTTTCTTGATGTATATTGCTAACTAAAAGATATATCTTAAATACAATCATGTATATTTGATTGCAGTTGCTTTCAACGATGTTTGACGTTTGTTGATATGTCGCGTGTAAACAGACATGTAGAAACTATTCGACTGTCATTTAAGTTTGCACTATAAGACAAAAATTATATCTCATTGGAATAACTTCCGATTATTTTTGACGCTTGTAGATTGTAAGTAGATCGATCCCAATCATTTGATAGTCATATAGATTTGCCTTTTAAGAAAACCAACAGCAAACGACAGACAAACAGATATAACACTTGCAAGTTGTTCATCAAACAAGCATTGAACGGTCAATTTAAAAGTATCGTAGTTGGTAGTATCATAGAGGTAACTCTAAGACCACTGGGTCCCGAAGAAAATCATTATTATTTTTGGCTCACTCAGTACCAGAACAATGGTCCCAAGCAGTCCCAAGCTATTTCACTCACCCCTGCATGTTCTGCATGAATCCACACACCCCTGATGTTATCTGTCAAACTTTCATAGTGAATCAAAACAAACATAGTGTAGTAATAGAATTTCAACTAGAATAGGGTACGTTAATCGTTTGCTTGGGACCAATAGGCTAGTCAAGTAGTGAGCCAATTTAAAATCGTTAGTTTCGTATTGATTGTTGGTAGTATCGCCACCTGTGGCGCGTATAGTCCTTTCCTTTGAGTTTGACGTTTACACACTATCGCCAGCTGTCCAGCGTACTACCCACCGCAGTGTCATGGCGGTGGCGGTCATGTTTTACAGTAGTGTATTGAATAATCTTTATTTGTTATCGTCCCATCAGATAAGGGGTTCCGGAAAACGATGCATTGAGATTGGAAAAAAAATGATTCTACTGCAATATTTACTTTGCTAAGATTCTAATTATAAGCCTTCTTCACGGCTTATCCAGATTGCAGCACTAGTACTGAAACTTCATGAACCAGTTCCATGAACTCATATAATGTAGAGGTTGTTTTACTCGAATTTATTTGAATTTGAACAAACGACTCCACCGGAACGGAACATACATTTGTCAGTGCTATTTTTCTTCACTCTAGCAAAACAAGTAAAACGTTGCACTATATTCCATGTCGGAAGAATTGTTCTTACTTCATGCTAATTGTACGAACTCAATCTCGAAGTTAGCCATGGCCCAGTGAAACCGAGCGAAGGCACCGACAGCATCACACCCCAACAATCCTTGATCGAATCCCAAATCAGCTACAATAAAAAAAAAACCCCCTGGAAAGCACAGGAAGCAGCACCTCCCACTGCCTGATGTTTATTTTAGGATGTATTGTTAGAACCAGGGTGCCTTCCATTCATTTTGACTAAAAAAAATGTTTTAAAAAATTATGGAATAATAAGATATTATGAAAATATTTTGATTATGTAAACAACAAGAAAAGATTGTTAAGTTTGTGTTTGACACATACTTACTTGTATATTATTTATTTGATAAGGCTCAACCGAATTAACTCAACAGAGCCGAGGATTCATGGTCACTATACAATACATCTTAAAGCTATAGTCAAAAGGTACAACACAATAAACACTTTATCTTCCGCTATCCAAAAAGCCTCCTCCATCAGAACTGGAGCCGCTTCGAGTAGTTTCATTGTATGGCAAATTGTTGTACGCCAACGAGGGTCAGAGCGCGTCCATTGCAGCAATGGACGCAAAACGTGGTCAGCACTCACACACTCATCACGAAACGGTTGCTTTCCAAAGTCGACGACGCATCGACCGAAAGAACTGCTGATGAAGAATAATGAGGAGGACCACACAATGGTTGCTGCCGAGTAAACAGACGATCGCGTAGCACACATCAAGAGTGGCCTGCTTTTGTCGACAGCCGAGTGAACACTGTGTTTGACACATAATACCTGCCATTTTTGCTACATGAGAGTCGCAATAAGCGATTTTGTAATTTATCTCACCCACTCTTCGCTCTTCACTCTTCGCGAAGAGGCGATCAGAAAAATGCTCATTGTGACTCTGTCAAAGCTAAATTAGCAGGTTTGATGTGTAAAACACAAACTCTACAATCTTTTCTTAATACTTACACATACAAAATATCGTCACAATATCCTATTATTCCATAATTTCATAAAACATTTTTTTAGTCAAAATGAATGGAAGGCACCCTGGTTAGAACCGATAAAATATATGTGTCAACGGAAAAAGTAAATTTCATGTGATTTTCATTTAAATTTTAATTAGATTGATTTATGACATGTATATGATTTTGTAGTGAGAAATAAAGCTAATGCTAACGGGTTTCAAATCCATTTTAGTTAGTTCTTTTAATTTGACCGATTTTAATTTATCATATGACGATCATATAAAAGTTACCAATAAAATGTATCAGATATTCATATAGAATTTACCTGACACATTTTCAATCATATCGTTTTCGTTGGATT